AGTTTTTTTTCCAGTATTTTCAGAATGTTTTCTTGTCTCCCTCTCTCAGAATCTCTTCCAAGTATTCTTAGCTCTCTGCCCCTGTATATCCAGTGTATCCAGAATGTATATTGAGTGTATACCTCTCTCTCCGTCCCCCTCTTTTTTCTTCTCTAATTTGATTTTCAGCTCCCTTAAATGGGCATTCAATTAGTGCATTTTTCACTACCAATTCAACTTTTCATTTATTTAATCATCCACTTAATTGTCCACTCAATTAGTGCTTTTAGTTAATTTGATAATGCAAATACTACCCTACCACTATTAGGAGCTTCTCAATTAGTAAATTGGCCCAACCAAATTTTCCTCTTCTTATTCTCAATGGGTTTGGCTGAGTTTTGGTTTTGGGCCTGGCTAAATTGGCCCAACCAGATTTTCCTCTTCTTATTCTCTTTTCCTTTTCAATTTTCTTTTCAACAATTAAAACTAAAATCCTAATTAATTATAAAACACCAAATTAACTTAAAAATACTAATTAATTCTAACTAATAATTATCACAAATAATTAAATGCCAAATTAAAAGAAAATCACACAATTTGACTAAAATTACAAAAATATGTTATATTTTTTTTTGAATTTTCATTTTTGTAAAACATCTAATTATTAATTAATTCCAAAAAATGTAAAAATCAAATCTCAAATGAAAATGCTATATTTTTGTATTTTTAATGCATTAACAAAATTAAACATGCACACAAATATATGCGAACAATCAGGGAAATCACACAATAATTCCTAAAAATAACACATAATTAAAGAAAAGACCTAATTTTGGGAATTCCTTTGGAGTAATTCGTATGAGGCAAAAATTGCGTGCTCACAGCCGATTTTAACCGGTTCTCGAAATAGATTCAAAGTAATGGCCTATAATTTTGTTAGCGACGGTCAGGCCTCCTCGAGTCGCGTTAATTTGGCTGGTGCAGCCGTTTTGACCGTAGTCACATGTGTTTGGCCGGAGCCATTTTTGATCCCGAGTGATAGTTTAGGCGTCTACATTGAGGGTATGCCCTTTCGGGAGTCTTACAAATGCGACACATAGCCCAAACTTTGGGATTGAGTTTTATGCCTGTTGTAAGGTCTTAAAAAAATTTCATGCCTGTTGAGGTCTTACAGTTTTTTCATGCCTGTTGAGGTCTTATAGTTTTTTCATACCTATTGAGATCATACAATTTTTTCATGCCTGTTGAGGTCTTACAGTTTTGTCGTGCCGTTGAGGTCTTACAGTTTTGTCATGCCGTTGAGGTCTTACAGTTTTTTCATGCCTGTTGAGGTCTTATAGTTTTTTCATACCTATTGAGATCATACAATTTTTTCATGCCTGTTGAGGTCTTACAGTTTTGTCGTGCCGTTGAGGTCTTACAGTTTTGTCATGCCGTTGAGGTCTTACAGTTTTTTCATGCCTGTTGAGGTCTTACAGTTTTGTCGTGCCGTTGAGGTCTTACAGTTTTGTCATGCCGTTGAGGTCTTACAGTTTTTTCATGCCTGTTGAGGTCTTACAGTTTTTGTTGCTATGTTGAATAGATCTTGCTAGACCGAGTTTGCCCGCTCGGGGTCTTACGGCCTCGGGTTTTTAAGTTAGTGGCGACTGGTGCCTGTCTCCGAGTCGTCGAGCTTGCTTAGGCTCGAAGGCCGTTGCTCGTGAGTTCAAAGTTGCCTCATTGAGGGCTTACGAGCATGGGGTTCCATCCCTTGAGGCCGTGTGTTTCTCTTCCGAACTTTTGACGTTAGTCTCCGAGTACTCAAGGTACCTTCGATGTTGGTGGTGCTTGGCGATTTACGTGTTGCCTTACCTGAAGGTTTTATGATTTCGGAGTTTCGACCCGAAGGTCGTCAGAGTGTCGAGTTGCCAACCTCAGTCCCTGAGTGTTTGGGACGTTTCCAGTGGAGTAATTGTTACCTTATTTTGCGAAGGTGTTTTTGACAAAAGGTATTCTTTGATCGTCCAGTACAATAGTACACGTATTCGCCGACGGGAGCCTGGCTATATGGACACGGTTCGTTCGACTGTTTGGCCCGGTACATTACTTTCCTACAAGAACCCCATTTGGCATTTCATGACTTTTCCGAGTGGGCGGCTTTCTAGGAGGATGCCCCTCATCGTTCAAAGTTGATTGCAAAAGAAGTTTTGAGCATTTGGTGAGTTTCACTTAGGCAGCTCGCAGACGTTGCATCGTTAAAAACCTTACTGGTAAAACCCTTCCTTTGGGAAAAAAAACTCGGTCGAAGGAAAAGAGTGCAACGAGTGCGTTTTAGAACCTTAAGGTCTTCAAGCAGGGTTAGCGTTCTGACCGCTCCGATCGAGTGTCTGCATAAGGGTTATTCCTAAATTTGAAACAAAAAGAGAGATGGTCGTACCTTGAAGTGAGATATGCTGGCGATGCCTCGGGATTGATTCGCTACAATCGTGAGAGTTGATTTGTTTCAATTTCCCGATGTGAAGACGCGGTATGGTTCTTTACTTTGTTCTTCTAAGTTTGATCGAGGGTGAGGCCCGATTTGCCCTTTGGTTTACTCAGGGGCGGAGGTACGAATGTTGGTACCACATCGTGTATCGCGAACATTTCCTTCACCGCATGTTGTTCCCCGTAGACGGTTTTAATTCCGTCCTTTGTTGGAAATTTTATCATCTGGTGAAGGGTGGACGACACTGCTCTCATGCAGTGTATCAACGGCTGCCCGAATAAGGCGTTATATCTCATGTCTCTTTCGATGACATGGAATTTGGCGTCTTGGGTTGTGCCGGCCATGGTGACGAGAAGGATGATTTCTCCTTTTGTTGTTTCACTTGCCATGTTTAATCCGTTGATGACTCGAGTGGCGGGCACAATTTGGTTGAGCAATCCGAGATGCTCTATCACTCTCGACTTGACAATATTAGCCGAGCTACCTGGATCCACGAGTACACATTTTATTTGAAAAGAATTTATAAGGAAAGAGATTACTAGTGCGTCATTGTGGGGTCGAGACAAGGTCTCGGTGTCTTCTTCGCTTAATATGAGGGCGTCCTTGGGAAAAACCTCATTATTGGGAACGTCTTCAGCCTTGACGGACATTTCCAACAATTTTATCACAATAAATTCCCTATTCACCCGGAGTCCCCAAAAAATCTCTCAGAGTTTCATCGTCTTCGATGTTAAACTCAGCATAACAAGCAAACCCTTGCGGAGTCACAGAATATGGATATCTTCCGGTTATTTTAAGATTCACCGAAGGTTTGCTCAATCTCATTTTATTGCATAAAAATGATACCAGTCTATCGTACTCTATTATAAGTGGCAACTTAACATGACTCTGTAGAGATAAACTATAGCTCACTGAGTTATTCGCCACCACAACCTCA